AAGACCCTACTCCGAACAAAAGACCAGGCTGCTGGGCATTACCGGCATTTTTCACTCTCACAAGTGGTGATAATCCAGCATTATTTTGAACCATATACCAGGGTCTGGGGTATTTAGAGCAAGCGGATTACCACAGGGGACACAAGCTCTCCACCACTGCAGCAATGAGCCACATAGCACTGCTGCATGCTAATCTGGCCCCTATTGAAAAGAGGTCAGCAGTGCACTAAGCCAGGTTCGTGAACAAAAGACAGTTGTATAACACCGCACAATCTGGGCTCTGTTTACAAGGCTGCAGGCCTGGCTGAAATATTCGGTGTCAATGAAGGTCACCTGTCAACTTACAGTAGTGCCTAAAGATTACTTCGTGTGGCTATAAACGACTGTTAAATGGAATGATGAATTGTTGAAGGATTTTGAAAACAGAAAAAATGATAGTCATGCCGGCCCAGCATCCTCAACGTTGAAAAATGCCCCGGCACGAAGTGGTTAATGGCAGACATCACTACTTCCTCGCTGGCCGATTTATCCAAAGCTAACACGGACCCAGAGGTTCTCACCGACACCTATAATACAACGATGCAGGCTCTCATGGACAAACACGCTCCAAAGAAAATGCGGTCAATAACTGTTTGCCCTAAAACTCAGTGGTTCACAGATGAAATTCGCGCAGAGAAACTGTTGCGTAAAAACTTGAGAATAAATGGCGTATGACTAAACTTACTGTAGACAGAGAAATATACAAGCATCAACGTAACAAGGTTTTGAGCCTCATCAATCGGGCAAAATATAGATATGTTAAAGATCTTCTTGACGAATGCCGAGGTGATGGCCATCGAATGTTTCGTGTTCTCGACAACTTGCTTGGTCGAAAGTCAGAGACTGTCCTTCCATCATGTAGTTCTCCACAGCAACTGGCGAATAATTTTAGCCAGTTCTTCCAGCGAAAACTTCTCACTATAAGGTTGAATTGTGAAGCTGCAGCCAGTTCACTGGATAATAATGATCACAAAGAGGAACTGTCAGCTACAGTACCTGGATGCGATTTTTCTCTTGAGACGGTGTCCCATCTTCAGGTTGACAAAATAATCAGAGAGTCCTCACCAAAACAAAGTGATCTTGATCCACTTCCGACAAAGCTTGTGAAGGCTTGTTTGCCAGTTATTGCCCCAGTGATAACATCAATTGTTAACTCATCAATAGTGCATGGTGTTGTCCCGCAAGCCCTCAAAACGGCTACAGAGAGACCAGTGTCTAAACTCCGAAAAATCAGTACCGATGGAGCTAACGACCTGAAGAATTACCGACCCATCACAAACTTACCTTTCTGTGCAAAGGTTTTGGAGAAAGTTGTTGCTGAACAACTTGTACAACACATCTCCTGTCATCAGTTAAATGAACAGTTTCAGTCCGCGTATAGGAGATTTCATGGGACGGAGACAGCTCTTATGCGCATCCAAAATGATATCTTAATGACTATTGATCAGGGGAAAGTTGCCATCCTAGTCCTGCTGGACTTAAGTGCAGCTTTTGATGCCATTGACCATCGAATTCTTCTTAGGAGGCTGGAGTCGTACATTGGTGTATCACCTGACACTCGGCCATGGTTTACGTCTTACTTGTCTGACCGGCATCAGACGGTGAGTGTCAGCGCAGAACACACAGCTGGACATGCGTCATACCCACTGAGGTTTGGAGTCCCGCAAGGATCTGTCTTAGGTCCTA